ACATGCTTCTAAAGGTCACTCTTGCTTTTATTATTCATGCACAAAGTACTTGTATACTAGTTATTTATGATTGATTAAGAACAAATTGATTAATATATTACCTAAATATCCTTTTTAAGTACACAATTTAAGCTAACCTTAGTCATTTCCAAAAACTCAGAAACTAAAGTTAAAGAATTACAAGGCTGGACAGTGATTTCCTTTTACAAGTAAAATAATATGAACAAATCAATGAAAACTTACTGGCCAGGGCCACAAGGCAGCAGAAGAGGAGCCCCTGCATGGTAAACCTGAGTGGAAGCTAATGCCTGAGATTTGTCCTTTATAAACCAGTGTGGGTTTCTTTGGGGAAATCTCATTGAGGTTGTAAGCAGGGCAGAGGTCTGGTTCAGACAGCTGACTTATTTAAAGTAAACACATGCTGTCTGCACTAGAGCCACGTTGACCTGTGACATTGTCAGAGTGACATGATTAATATGTGAAAGATAACCCTACAAGATTGGGAAAAACAAATGAGCGAATGAATGAACTCAAAAAACAAACCTTTCACTTTCTGATTGTGCTTTAAAAATCACTGAAAAAAAACATCGGTTTTCGTATCTGTAAGTCAAAGGAGATATTTCTGTTTTTTCTTACATGAACCCAGAGCTCTAAACATGGCTTGTTTTGTATAGATATCAGAGTTAAAACCTCATTTTTAATTGCAGAAAATGATGTAAACAAGTTTTTCACAGCTGAATGAAGGGATAAACCCAGTGGGATCCACATTTATTCCCTGAGTGAAACTCAGCCAAGTGGAGTGAAGGAATAAAGAGCAGATGCGGGCTGGTTTACTCTTTTACTTCTTGAATATCATATATCAGCAACTCCCATCCTTAAAATGTATACGCTGTCCCCTGGCATCACAAAGCTCTCCTCCTGGATACCACAAAGTCAAACAGTGTGGTGAATCACTGCTCTTCATGCCAATTTTAAAATCTGCCTCAGTCTAAAGCGCTCCACAGACGGCCCTTTTTATATTTGCAGTTTGAGGGTGATGACATCAAGAAGCAATCACACTAAGTGCCTATTCTTGCCATCTTTCAGGGTTATGTTCAGATTGCACAACGCAGGAGTCCCTTGTGTCATCGCACTTAAGGATTCTCTCAGCCATCATACCTCTTTCATTTCCAGCCTTCAGTTTATTTCATGCCAGCATCCGCCAGTAGAGGGCTCCCACATCACATTTTTGTTCTAAAACTGGATCAAGAAACGTGGATTGTTTTGAATATTATGGGACAAACAGAGAGGGGGAAAAGCATTAAGAATATCTTGGACAGTTGGGTTTAGTCATGTCTGGTGGTGGAATGTAATTAAGTGCACTTAAATACTGTCCTTAAGTACAAATTTGAGTTACTTTCATGCTTCTTTTTATACATTTCAGAGGAAAATATATTTTACTTCATTATATTTATTTGGCAACTTTAGTTACAACATACTTTATTATTAAAGCTTTGTGCATACAAAATGAGGAAGATGATATAAATTTAACTATCAGTGTACAAGTACAGCTCAAATTATTAATACATTAACCAATTCACTGTTTGACATAAAAGTAATGGGAAACTATAATATAATATAATATAATATATTTATGTAAAACAGGTGTGCCCAAAATGTTTCCCCTGGAGGACCAAAGCTAAAAATGTAGTGGTGGGTCTAGTACTGTAAAATGGTACTAAGATCCCACCTTCCCTCAGCTGACTGGTGACACCAGTGACACATACATATTTAAAGATATATTTTTTTTTTTACCTCACAATAAATAAAACATCAATTTTATATTATACAATTTTAAAATATGTTTATTTATTTCACTATGAATATCCGGGAAGCCAAATCAAACCTTGTGGCAGGTCAATTTTGGCCCACGGCCCCACTTTGAGCAGTCCTGATGTAAAAGATTTCAAGGTTCCAGTTTCACAGATCCTTTAAATTATTTTAATCATTTTAATTTATTTTGGTGGATCCTCAACCAGCTACAACAGTAAAAGCCTGCTCTCACATTAATGAGTAATAATAATTGAAGGATATAATATTTGTATATTAGTATAATAGTCACAGGGGATACTTGAACTTTTACAGAGCATCTTTACAGTGTGGTGTTAGTACTTTTACTTAAGCAAAAATATATGAATGCTTCCTCTACCACTGGTCATGCATGATCTGAGTTCATCCGCCAAACCTAGTACTTATTTATAGAAAATTCTAGATTTTTCTCCACCATTTTACAGTATTAGACACAACTGAAGTACCTCTATAATACATTTAGGTCTACAGACTGGTTGAGTCTGTTTTAGTTGTAAATCTGGTTGAGTCTAAGTCAAGACATTGAAAGAAAGAAAATGAAAAACAAATCAATATTAGGTCTTTACAGGAGCATGTTATCTAACAGCCAGTGTTTTAGTTTTTCCTTAAAGGTGACTGGGTTTGTAGTCTGTTTGTTGCTATTACGAACCTTATTCCAATCCTGAGCACCTGAGTATCTGAAATTATTTTTACCCATCTGGCTACTGATTCTAAGCAGTGTCAGATTTGCCACACTGGACCTAGTGCTGTGCCTGTGAGCCTCTCTGACCTGCGGGAAGAAATTTAATAAGTAATTTTGGGCTATACATTGGGCTATATATTTTAACTGCCACTCTGGACTCTGGACAGGGAGCCATCTTAGCTGCATCATCTGTTTCCTCTGTGCTCTTGTGGCCCGAGACCTAAGAACTCTCTGATCAATTTATTTTGGGAGACATTTTATCTTCTATAACTTGGGAAGACTACACTACTAGGATTTGCTAGTGCAGTTAAAGAGGCATTGGATTAAGCTGGATGCTACAGCTTTCCGGCTTTCCCTGTCCAGGAACATTGACTTTCTAGCCAAAAAATTTTCCTCCCACTTTCAGGGCCATACCTTCACCCCCTGCATTGCAGTTAAATGACAGACGGGTGGGAATGGGTGATAGGAAAAGATTCATAATGTCAGTATTTGTTAATTTGGTTTTTCTTTCCAGCCCTATGCAGGTGCTTCTTAAACTCATTATAATACAGGGAGCGATAGCTTGTTGAGAATTGCCATGAAAATAAGGCTGTAAGGACACAACATTTACTTATGTACATTGCATTACAAAGCCATAAAGGACAACAACAATGCTACAACACAGCTCATGTGGACCAACAAGCTACAAATAATTTTGATTTGTCTGATCGTGCAGACAAATATAATAAACATGAAGTGTTGCCTATGTTGCTATAAGTCTGTGTCAAGTGTTAGGGCTTAGTAGAAAGAGTGTTCCTCATTACATCCAGTAGATGGGGCCATTGGCCTTCCTAACTGTCAGATAATGGAAACAGTCCTTTTAACAACTCATCTTTAATTTACTGTACACTTAGCTGTGTACGATGCATTAAACAAGACCATTGATTTTGCACATAAAAGAAGCAAGCGGCAGAGATATGTGTTAATTTGCCACAATCATTTTAATAATTTACAAATCAATTTCAAACACAAGAAAGGAACAAAGACAACAGACTGCGAAGATTATTTGGGGTGTAATGCTAATAGCTGCAAAGGCATTAAATTAAACTGAAAATGTACAAAATATTTTGATTCCTGTATTACTCTCAGAAGAATGCCTTTTGTGAACACGTTGAAAGATTTGTATGTTTGCATTGTACAGAAAGATCCTGAACATAAAACCAACAAACAAACATTATGTTGGCAGTCTTCTAAAAGGGAAACAACATTTACAAAGTATAAGTGCTACATGTTCTCATTTATTAGACATCTGTACTAAACAATTCCTCCCACATCATTTTCCAAAAATGAAAGCATGAATCACAGGATATTGCAGAGCTGTAGTGTCGACTATCGTTGTACAAGTGCAGATGATCAGGCTTTGGTCGCATTAATTCATCTCAGGCATTCAAAACAACATGGCACATTTTTGAAAAGCCTGTAGTACTCCTCCTGAATCTGGAACACACATTCAAATAGGTAGGATTAAGTTGAAAACATCTTATAGTTATAATATAATATAATATAATATAATATAATATAATATAATATCGCATTGCAACATGCACAATTGTGAGATACTTTATTCCATTTTATGCTTATTCATACTTTTACTTCACTACATTACAGTGGGGATTTTTTGCTTTTTACCTCACTGAATACATTTCACAGCTGTTAGTTATAGTAATAGTTTTCCGCAAAAAAAATTGTGCTTAAAACATATGATCAGTTATAAAATATACTTTATTGTAGAATAAACTAACCCATTTTTTTCTTGCTTTAAAATTACAGTTAATAGATTTAGCTGCTGTACCTTGACAATATTAAAATGCTGCTTACATGTTAATGAATCAGTAATTATGCAGAATGAGTACTATGATTACCTATTTAACAAAAAATAAAATATCTCAATACTTCTTTCATCACCTAATAATAGTAATAATATAATATACTTTTCTAAATAGCAACAACATAATAGATTTTCTATCCATCAACGCAGAATTTAACTCTCATTGTCTTGATCTGAACTGCTCACTGTCCAACTATAGTCATAATGAATGTTAAATAATTAAATGCAAAAGACGTAGAAAACAAAGTTGAAGGAAGCCCAACCAAAATGTTACCTTTCTGGAGAGGACACAGAGGAAGATGAAGATGAACATCCCCTGGAAGGCGTTGGTGATGGTGAACAGATAGGCGGTGAGGGTGGTCTCATTGAGGATGTGCAGCACTCCAAAGGTCCAGGTGGCTCCCAGCACGAACAGCAGAGCCAAAGCACCACGGGCGCAGGACCTGCGGGTGAATGCAAAAAAAGAAAAGAAAAACAACAACAAAGAACTAATTGTAATTTGGAGAACACCACATGATGCCATAATAATCCACCAGAAAGAGAACTTACAACTTGATTTTCCATATTCCTTTGACCTTCTCAACAACAGTAAATATAATCCTACCTGATGTTTTCATAGTGACTGATTTCAGGCTTTTTCACAGCAGTATGCCGGTACACTTTGTAGATGATTACTCCAAAAGCCAAGAGATTAACCTTTAGTGGAGAACGACCAAAGACAAACACGACAAACAAACACGATCAAATGAATATTTATCTTTCAAAACAAGCCCTTTTTGATGATTTCAATTAATATTTTTTCATTTTTAGGATGTTACAAAGACATCGGATCTTACCAGAATGATCAAACACGCAGGCCCGATGAAACTCCATATGAAGTGGTTTTCTGTGCTCAGCCAACACCTATAATACAAATATAAAAACGTGCAATTTAGCAAACAATTTCACTGACTGAATCTGTGTTTTAAGATCTCTTTGTTGCAATAATCTATCATTTTACCTTTGTCTAATCTAGCCTAATCTTAATTATTACAATATTGTATGGGCTAGTGCATACCCTTCTTATCTTTCAAGTACAAGCACAATTGGTTTGAAAACCTCTCACCTCTGCTCACAATAACGGACAATCAGCATTTCTTTTTACGTAATCTCAATGTTTTAATTATATTTTGCATTAATAAACAACAGACTTTTATTTATAGATTCCTATTAAAATTCTCAGTGGTACCCAAAACTTTTCAGAATTTATTTTGCACTAATTCAGTTATTACCTTCCTCTCTACAAGCATCTTCAACTTCCTTTATGTCCCCGCAGGCCAAATTTAATCTCTGTCCCCTTGTATTTATAATTAATGTAATTTGTTTATCTTTGTTCTCTGAAAAATGCTGAATGAGTTGGAAAAGAGGTCTTTATAAAAGCATTTGTCTTCCAACCTCTCTGTACAAAAAAAGCTAAAATATTCTCCTCTTACACTTTATCCGTGCCGTAGTACTTGGAGCCGAGTGTTGCAGAGATGGTCACCACCACTGCCGGGCTTCCGTAGCCAAAGATGTAAAAGTTACGGTGCAGGAAGCCTTTGTTGTAGATGACACCAACCACTATTAAGTACAGATGGATGCCCTCGATGCACATCCAGGCAAAGGCCGCAAGGAAGAAATAGTGCAGCAGCCCTGCAATAACAGAGCAGAAAAGCTGCCAAGAAATAGACAAAAGAGGAGAGAGAGAGAGAGAGAGAGAGAGAGAGAGAGAGACAGATTTATATATTTCTATATTGATGTCGTTATTTTGCATCTATTGCACTCTTTCTTTGTTCAGCCTTATTTATTATGAGATGTAATGCTAATGTTGCATTCAATGCATTTTCTTGTCAAATGAGCCTTTAAATAGACAGAAATAATTCTGACAGCAATAGTTAGAGAGTAAGTGAAAGAAATAACAGTGTGCTATAGCATTAAAGGCACTCTTTGTAAATGAAATGGCAGACTAGTGGGTCAGGTGTATACACACACACAAAAACACACAAAAACAGGAGATTTTCTTTGTTTTATTGGGTTCAAGTGCATCCTAGCTCACCTTGTGTGTGTTCATATTGATTCCCACCAGGAAGATGAACTCGGCCATGAAGAGGCTGCAGCACAGGTTCTTGTGGATGGTGGTTCTGGTGCTCTGGATCTCACTGAAGAACCAGAAGGTGAAGATGCACATGGACAGACAGATGAGGGAGATGATCATCCCCAGCTGGGTGATCCGGGTCAGGATGGTATAGTGGGCCACCAGCTGAGAAGTAAATGGAAAGGGAGGTGTTTCATTCACAGTTTCATGGTATGCTGAAGTTGTAATTTGTTGTGTTTTCTGCTTGGAGTCATTTGATATAACATGGGAATAGGCTGGGGTTTGCACCAATATGTTAGGTTGTAGGCATTCTGGTTCATTTTTTATTTGAATCGAGGAATTTGGGGGCAGTGTTGAGCTCTGTAAAAATTATGGGGGGTGTATCTTTAAAAGTTAACAGACACACAGTTTCAGTGGAGACTTTTTTGTGTTTCATGAAATACTGTTTTATCAAGAATATTATCCTGAGTGGAACTAAATACTTGGAAGTCTTGGTATTTAGAAAAAAAAGAAAGAAGTTAATATATTAAAAACTCAACAGCATAATGTTGCCAATCAGCACCTTTAACACAAAATAGTACCATTGGCCTTCAAATAAACCTGTGGTTCACACAGAGGTACATCCATATGGGGTTTAATCTAAATAATGGTGGGAAATAATATAAACTGGCAGATTATGGATTGAGAATTTATTTCTATATATTAAAAATACAATGTAGAAATCCATTGGATTATCTGAAAATGCAGTGTCACAAAACTGAAAATTGGGACAGGAAAGCAACAATATGTGATTTAAACAGAAAAAAGCATTACATAACCATGGAAACGTGAAAATATTTACTGGGTTTCGTCAGTGTTATAATCAGTCATGGATCTAAAGCTCAATATTCTGTATTTCTTGTATAAAACCTGAATAAATGAATAATTTTCTTAAGATAAAATTGAGAACAATCAAGGAGTCACTAAAAATATTACTTGCAGAATCGAGATATGAGGTTCGACTCTTGTTCTCACTGAAAATACATTTGTTCAATATAATCAGCCTTTTTCCTAAAATCATTTTAATAAATAATTTAAAGCTCTGGTGGAAAAATGCCCCAAAAAAGGAAATACCATTGCACTGTTAGAGTTGTATTTTTAATGTATGATCCACTCACATTGGCTCGCCCAGAGGACATGAGGATGGTGAAGTGTGTGAGGTGATTGCAGGAGCAGGTGGTTGCATTGCTGTTGACGTGGACGGTCTTGCAGCCATGAGTCGCCCAGTGGCCCTGCAGGCTGTCCACCTCGTACTCCCAGAAGGCACACTTCGTCACATCAGCTTTAGTGTCTATGGGCTTTGGGGAATAAAGAGAAACAAAGATGCTGTTAACTGTGGATGGTTTTATTAGTTTTTGTATGGCAATGCTTTTGTGATACCACACCACCGGGGGGTTAAAAACAGATTGTGCAGGTCTCATCGAAATAGCACTTAAATTACTTAAATGACTATCAATCCAAAGTTTGACTGCATTAGAAATTACATTTAAAATATTTAAATAAACATTTTTTCATTCCCTTCTGTTACATTAGTGACATTTTCTCACAACTTTATAACTTACTAATAATAGAATGCCAAATAATTGTCATGGGAAAATGAATGGCACACAATTGCTGCACACAATACGCCAAGAGAGTGGCAGCTGACTATAGGTATTTTTGTGGGAAAAGGAATCTCACTGGGATGTACAAATGTACAGTAGTCTGCATATGCTGGAAAAAGGGCAGAATTTTAAATTTTAAAATTTTAGATGAACATAATGAAAGTAAAGGGCAACATATTTTCAATTAATTACTATTATGTGTAATTTTACTTGATTTACAATGATCCATGCAACAACCACATTTGCAGTAGAAATACACATTATCATAAATAAATTTAATGAAAATGTGGTCCAGTGTTGTTAAGGTTGTCCCTAAATCTTTATTAAGTTTACATTCAATTAGAGTTGTATCTTGCTCCCACTTGGTGTGTTATGATATTTTTTGTAATTGTATGACAGCAAATTCGTAATTTGCACCCTTGAGTCAGTAAATTTCCTTTCGAATTAATGTGTGCAGAGTGTCACAAAATAACTGAACAGGTGCAAGCAAGGAAAAACTCCCAGTGCATCTCGGTAAAACACCACTTTGCCAGCAGAAAGTGTCTGCACGAAAATGGAGCCCAAATTATTGATTGTTGCTCTTTAAAGGCAATTTACAGAGGATTTTCACTGCTCAACATAAATCAACACCTCCTTTGTTAGGCTTAAGCCTCAAGGGTCCAACAAAAATAATGATTTCACTTTCTCATACATTTTAATTATCTTAAAAGAAAATACCAGTACATTAACTTTTAGGGTTATTTCCCTCATTACTCGCTTTCCTCCATCATCTATTCACCTTTCCTCTTCCTTTCCCCCTTAACTGAGAGGTCATTGCAGAAATGCATGGAGCTAAATCTTAAAATTTTAAGAAGCTAAAACACAAAGCACTAACTACTCCTCCCATGTGAGTTTGTTTAAATTTGACTTTAATAGAAACTCTGGCAGTTATGAAGTTACTGCAAGAGTCAATCTATTCCTCACATCAACAGAGAACGCAATGATGGCTCCAGTCTGACAAAGAAATATATGATGAGTTATTGATTTTTCAAATTGAACAAGATCCTATTGGAAGTTCATGTTTATAGATAAAATTCCGAATTAATCATGTGACACAGAAAAGGTAGCAGTGGGATTAAAGGAGCAGGGAAGTGAAGAAAACTTTTACCTAGACTGCATTTATGTTTATGAAACAATAGAAAAATATAAAGATTAGATGGTTCAGTTGCTCAAAATGTTGCTCAAAATAAAGTAATAAAATAGTAAATAGTAGTACTTTAATAAGGAAAGATATAAAATAAAGCTATATTCACCAGCTGGGTCACAATTTTCAAGAAAGTTCTAAACCAAAACTCACTGGCTTTTGCACAGAAACAGAGATACTCTGTAGCAGCGTACATTTTGAAGGTATACATTGAGACTGCAGAAGTGGAAAAACAATGTAGCTCAGCACTCTGTGTGGTCTTTACCTCGTTGTGTCTCAGAGTGAAGGTGACATGGTCAAGTTGGTAAACGTCAGCAGGTTTGACGGCTGCTGCTATGACTCGGGAGTTGACAGTGATTTCCCCTGTTCCTGCATACCGCGAGTAGTCGGTGACACCTGGGTCGCTGCTCGGCTTCAGGATGTCACCGATGCTGTCATATCGCACAAACACCACTGACACACTTCCTGATGGACCAAAAAAAGTTTTACAAAGACGGGAGGCAGTCCAACTTACTGTATTTGTGATCAAACTTTGAATCCAGCCACTTAATTAGCTCTTCACTCTTAGATCTACTGGCAGATCTCACCAACTGTGCAGAGTTTAATGTATATACTTACCAGTTTACCACACTGAACGTCCAATAAAATAATGTAATGTAAGAATAATTGTTGGATTTGATTTAATTATAAATGGGAGTTCATAAAGAAGCAGTTTTTTTGCATGCTGACAGTCCAATACCTTTTGACCCAAGCTGCTGCTGCTTGTGTAAATGTTGCCATTATGACCAGATAAACTTACAGATTTGTACCAAAATCTGATATTACTGGAGTGAATTGTAATATACGAGCCCAAAATTAGACATTACAGCTATATATATTGATAGAGAAAAAAAAATACAAATACTTACTTTGAAGTACAACATATGTGGCATATGGCAACATATGGCAAAACAGTACTCCCCGTGCCAAGCATGCAGATGGTCACAACTTTAAAAAGGCATTTTTGATTTTACTGTCCTTTAGACATTTAAACTAGGCTACTTTACCATTCCTGTCCTCCTCTGGTCTCAGTTTTGGAGTTAGATTTATGTGATCTCCTGCCATGGAAGCAGACACTTTGGCTTTTGTGTGTTGAGCATCAAACGTGAAGAGTTTCAATTCTGTGGTTGAGATTAAAAAAATTAAAAAACCCCATCAAGTATATAAAAGAATTAAAAGTATTAAAATGACAATTATGCAAACCTCACTTTCCTGCACACAGGTGGGAATAAATGGCAGGACAATTTAATATAATTTGAGTGTCTGTAAGAGCGCTCTGTGTTAATAATTATCTCACCCATTTCGTTGGCTTTGATTTCGAGCTCAGTTGGAGTTTTGTAGTTGTTGGCCAGTGTCAGAGCGCTTTCTTCAACAGTATGTAGCAGCTTGGTGATGGTATGTTCCCGACGCTCTTCTTTCATTCTGCTCCAGGCCACAAGTTCATCCTTCTCCACCAAGTTGTTTACGGCTTTCACCAATTTCTATTGAAAACAAGATTTTTCAGTGTGACGTGTATAATAGCATCGCATGTAACATACTGTATGCTGCACTGCAATATGTTTTTAATTAGAACATTATGTTGATATAAGGTATGTTACTTTGATGTTTAAATATTTACTGGATATAATGATTTATTTTTATTTTTTTCTGCATATAGTAATATAACAGATATTTCTCCAACTGTCATTGACTGAAATTTCAATACAGAAGTTTCTAAACTGTATTCCGCAGAACTGCAGAGTAAATGATAAGAAGAAACTGCAGTGCCATTTTATTCCCCTCTAACCAGATCAAAGCATAACTGCAGTTTAGGCAGAACTCCAAATGTTGAATGAGAAACAAGAATGGTAAACAAAGATTACTGTTAGAGTTGAGTTGATGGCGGATGGTTTGACAGTGTAATCCTTTTCTCCTGCAGCCAGTGTTGATGCGGATCGACACAAGGCCTCAACATATGCAATCACTTGCACTGAAGTGAGCTCGCCGGACGTCTGTTTGGCAATTTCCTTCAGTAGGCTCTGGGGTTCGGTGAAGTTGCTCATCTAGGATGAAAAAAATGTATTTGTGATTAATTATTTCATATTGTTTTTAATGATGTCACATTCTAAAATTACACATTATTTCTGAAAATATATTATATGTACAGTTTTTGTTCTTTACATGGAGCTGGTAAGTAGCTCACTCACAATCTCCATAATGTGCTTATACATATTTAGCAAGTTGGAGTTTCCCCACAAGGAGGAGGTGTTTAGTCATTCTCAGAAATGTCTTTACCAACTATAGGACAGAGAGGTTATAGGAGCCATTTAAACGTGTCTGTATCACCTCTTGCAAATAATGACAGCAATAGCTAATAAGGTTTTAATAATCGTGCCATCTGCAGGCGATGAGTGTTGCAGGTTTTCCTTTTTCAAAACTGCTGTTTTGTTATTTTTGTTAAATCAAATAGAAATGTAAATATAATTTTCAGTCACTACACATTTTTAAAAATGTAATATTTGTTTTTCTTTCTTCACATCTGTGAACTTGAGCTTAACATTCAGTTTAAGGGTAGTAGGCCTATGTTAACTGTCTGTATAAACATTCACCTAACCAGAGTTAAATATTTAGGCCAATCCTGGAGAAAAGAGAATGCATTATGAGACAACTCCTCCCAATATTCCTTAGAAAATATTATATTGTATGCTAAAGTTAAGAAGTCCTGAAATACACAAAACACACAAATTCACAAAGCAGCTATTTCATTAAAAAGTAAGCAACTATAACCCCTATTGCCTGCAGGTGTCCTATGAGTCAAAGTTGCAAAATATATTACTTTCTTTGCCTGTAGATGGTGCACATTGACATGTCAGTCCTAAACCACTGCTGTGGTTACTTTTCTTGCCTGTAGGTGGTGCAACGTTGGGTGCAGAACTCCAGGTTTGAAAGCGCTAAAGTGGCAGTCGGATTATAGTGGCTGGTGTTGTGTGTCCTTACTGTACAATACAGTTTGAGCCCGTTTCACTTATTTCTCTCCAATAGAGGGCAGTGTCATCACATCTATTTTTACCTTATTTGGTTAAAATCCTGAGGAGGGGTACTTACATATTCAAGTGTTTTGTTGACAGTCTGTGCGATGCACTCAATGTTGTCGTGGCAGTATTTTTGGGGATGTTCTGGAAAACAACAATTACCAAAAGTATCTTGTTGATTGCTTAATTTATTTCAATAACTTCCCCAAGATAAGTTACAGTAAAATCTGAATTGCAAAAAACTTAACACAGGCATAACATCAAATGGCTCTCTTTGTGACCCATATTGTTTAAAACATCAGAAAATGTAAGATTGCAGCATTTACTTGATGTATTGCATAACAGATTCTCCCAAAAACATTTTAAAAAGAGTTCTGTGCTGTGTGTGCAGCCATAGACATATGTATGTCCTTGGATGTAAGTATCAGTGTGTGTGTGTGTGTGTGCACTCTTTCATCCTTATACCGACCTTTACATCTCGCACCTCTCTCTGGATGAAAGTGCTTAGTGCCTGAAGTTGGGATGTAATCACGCTGACAAGTGCAATAGAAAGATCCATTCGTATTATGGCAGTGTGAGTTTGGTCCACAGAGCTGTCCCGACTTGCATTCATCAATATCTGAAGGATGCAAATGAAGAGTTTGGCTCCGATTAACGATAAACACGATATGACACTCTCAACATGAACTGAATAACAAAATAAATACAGACGTTAACGGGCATGTGTATTTCTACCTCAAAATGAGTAAAAATGATACTAAAGTGAAGTGAAGCTAATGCTTTACTTTATATTTAAATAGAGAATGTGGCTAGTAGTCCTACTTGTTAAATTTAATACACTGTATAATTGATTTTGAAAGAGAAACTGCATACTTGCATGCATATTACACATTTGAATATTCATAAATCAGCTACTAAAATCAGCTACATGCTTCTGCACTGTTTTAAATGGCCTGTGCCACCCAGTTGGAAATCTACAGGAATACTTTATGCAACAGCATGGGTTAAAAGTGCTGTTCTTCTATTGCAAATGGAGGAAAAGATCTCAGGTGGTTAGTCAGAATAGCAGATGGAAAGGAAGTGAAAGGCCGAGGGAAAAAAACAAACACCTCCAACATGTTTATCCTTCTCACTACTGTGAAAGAGAAAACAGTTCACACACACACACACAGTGCTGACGCCATCACAGCTGTGTGGTAACTGCTTTCACACTCACTGATGTAGATGATATTTTGCCCAGTTGCATGTGTGGTCCTCTGTCAGAACAGTTTATAATATGTTACTGATCATTACAGCGTGTGACCAAAGCTAATTTTTGTACATTTATAATGCTGAGTGAGTGAATTGGACATTACCGATGCATTCTGTGCCATCGTTGGGCTGGAACTCGCCCAGTCCTGTCGATGTGTATCCAGAGACACATGTGCAGTAGTAGCTGCCTGCTGTGTTGGTGCAGTTCCCCCTGTCCCCGCAGATATTAGTCACATTCTGGCACTCGTTGTCATCTGTTGTGAAAAGACGAGGACAGAAAGTAAAATGGGTTAGTCGCAAGAAAAAAGAAAAGACAAAACTCAAAAAGCATTTAAAACTTTTGGCCTCTTTGAAAAAGAAATTGGGTGAGCAAAGAAAATAAAACATCTTCGCAGATTTTGTGTTGCTGTGATTTGCAGAGGATGATACCAACTGACCAGCAAGCTACAACACGAAAAAACAGGATATCAGTTCAAGCCTAATTTTTGTTACAAATCAAAATTCATGAACAACTATTCAGATTTACAAAAATGAACTACTTCAGCAGGTTAAAACTCTTGTTTACCTAATTCTTTATTTGGACATTTTTTATCTTTGGCCTATACTGAAGTGTTACATCACTGATTTATAATAAAAAAAATTTATGTATCATTGGTGTTCTTCAATAGATCGTATTGTAACAGTTTCCTTTTTACTTTATCTTCAGTCTACCATATATCCTCCTAGATTTCCTCCCATAAGGCCTTTCAATATACTCTAGAAAAATGCCAGAACATGTAGCAAGTTTCTGTTGGACATATTTGGAGATGATTGTAATTTTAGCAACTTTATTAAGTGTTACTCTTACTGTGGCTGATTTGCATTTTGGTCCACAGTTGGTGAAGAGACTGAAATCCCTAATCTCCCTCTTCAACAATAAATGTTCTTTGACTGCTGAACATTATGCAAAATGGCTGGACCATCAGAAAGCCCTCGCTTCATGACAGGAAAAACGGATGTTAATCCTTGAACTTTAAATAGAGCAGTAAGTTATGGAGTAAAAGGATAACACCACAAAACTCATGCCTTGGGACATGGTGGCAACGTTGCTTAACATAAACATCTGTTTTCCAAAAACAGAAACCAGAACTAGTATTTAGCCATCAATTCAGGAGCAATGATTAGGTAGGACTATTTCTAAGAGTAACAATGATTTTCTATATTAATCCATGTATTAATGTCCAGAAAATAATCACCATAATAGCATATTTAATTTCCAGATTCAGTTTCTATCAACAGTTTTTTGAGTTTCACTGCATATTCACACAAATACTGACTCGAACTGTCCTCCACAATTAGATTACTATTTAGGAATACTTCAATTTAACCCGGATCCTGTGTCCTGGTGTTGATTAGAACTTGATAAAGCTCAGTTGTGTTGTGTGTCTCAGCCTTGATTAAAGCTTTGGCTAGCTCCAACGTATCAGTTTTTTTTGTTCACATTTGTGATTGCTGAGCAGTTGTTTGATTTTGAAAAACTCAAGTTACTCCAAATATTTTACTTTGTATGCCAGGTTCAGAAAGCACCAGATATAGAGCAGTTTACTGTGGATGTGGCTGTAGCCCACACATTATAGAAAGTGCTGTTCCAGCTTTATTTTCAAACACACCTTCCGTCTCTGGTCTCCTAGTTTATTGGAAATGACCTGGTAAGACTTTCCACTGTTGTTTTCACTTGTCTAGGTATGATGGATGCTGTGCTCTTCCTCTCCTCTGTACCTTTTACACAAAAGCTGTCCGGGAAGGGAAATCCTCTGCTCTGATGAGAGAGGTGACTGTATCCAAAGGGGAAATTCCTCTATAACACCCTTGAACCATCATTGTTGCACAAAATTGCACCCACATATTTTATCATCACTTTGATGTCTTGTTTTGTCTTAAATAATCCATAAGATTCTGTGTTTCTGTGCTTTCGTCACTTTGTTGTTTAAAAAAAGTCAAAAACGCTGAATGGATCAACTTTTAGGAGACTTTACACACAAAAAGGCAAAACGTGAACCCCCCTAATTCATGATTTTTTTGCATTAAATTAACTCACACACCAAATGAACGTCTTAATTTTTGAATTCGCTACTACATCGGGAGTCCGTTAACCCTGAACTTCCTTGTGCCTTTTTGTTTTAAAATCATACTCTAGTGTTTGTACCACTCACATTTTGATTTACTTTTGGCTCTTGACAGATGTAAGCTGTACTGTGATTGTGATCTGCTTTGGTCAGGAAACAAAAAGGGTTTCAGGAATTCTAAACAGCCCGCAAACATAACAGGAGTAACAACGCTGACTGAGAGGCAACACTGGCCATTAAAAATGTTACTCATAAAGCTGTATTGAAAAGCTGAGATCTTTTTTCACATTGCAGTGTTTTTACTGTAATTAACTCTCAACGAGGTGAGCTGCCAACTCGTTGGTAGGCAATACAAAAATGTCAAGTTCCCACCACAGCTGGTCCAACAAATACCCTCAAAGAGGATAAGAACACATAGCGTTGTTCAAATCACTCACACAGATCTTACTTAAACTCACCCACATGGTGCTTTTGTGTTTTGAAATTGCCAAATGAATTATTAAGCTCAATCACAAGAATTAAAACAAAATTAGATGAAAAAAGCTGGTAACACTTTATATTAAGGTAGACATATTCACCCTCAACATCATCAAGCATGCATATTAGTAGCATTTTGGCTCTTTATTAGTGATTATGAAGCATGTATTAATGCCTTATTCTGCATGACCTTATTATACAACCAGTAAGCCATTAACTAAGAGTTTTCCCTCAATAACTTACTAATTACTCCTATTACTCTTGATAGTGAGTAATGAAGTTATTGTACATTATTATGATCTTAATATGTTTTGCTCAGTATGGACCTTAAGGTGGTAGTACCACAAGAATAGACATTCTCTCTTAATTAATACACTTAATAAATGTATATTCATAAGTAATATGCTTTGCTCAGTGTAAGCCAAGGTTGCAAGACTATTAAACTTGTATTCAACTTCAATTTAAATATTCTATGACGTTTTAAATTAACACAGTTTAATTTTTAAAATGAGCAAGACCTTACTGTATAATGGGAACATATTTTGAGTTAGAAAGATGTCATTTAGAGTTATTTGGACATTATTAACACTTATAGTTATGTGTTTTGTTATATAAGAACAGAACACATTTATTAACTATTATTAAGGGAGAATGACTATTCTTGGGGTTATTGAGTGAAGATTCTTAGTTAATTGCCTAGTAGTTGTAGAATGTGGCCATGCAGAATAAGGAATTAATAGGTGCCTTGTAATGACTAATAACGAGCAAATACGCTTCTAATATGCATGCGAGTTAATGTTGAATATGTGTAACTAAAAATCTCGATGATAAATAATTCCCTGTGTGGTCTAAGAAATGCTACATGCCGGCTTAAACATTACTGGTTGTTTCTGGTTAATGATAAGTGATATTTTGGAGCTAACCATCTTAAAATGTTGAGATAATACGAGACAAACAGTTGCAGAAGAGCAACTATGTACAGAACATGCTGATTTGTGTCGATCAAATCACCACAGATAGTGTTTTATTTGCGTTTATGTGTATCCCTTTTAACATTTCGGTAAAAATTTAATGAGTTGTTGTCCTGAACAGGCATCTCAAGAAGCTTCAACACATCTAATGCAGAGATCCAGAGATATTTCAAACTGCTTACATCCTAGTTATTTTGCACTGCACAGCCATGCTCTAAAAATGTGTTGGCCTAATACTTCTGTCTGCTTATGAAGAACAGTGACAAACAAGAAAGGCTTCCTAAAATAGTCAAGGCTGTCATGACAGCTACACACAAGGCTGGATGTACTCTTGCATCACTGTAAACACTCAACATATACTGGTGGCTTTGTATGTTTATATTTACCATTGCAAAATGTCTTTCCATCTCCAGTATATCCATGGTTGCAGAAGCACGCATCGTTTGATCCATTCAGGGCCTTGCATGTTGCAAGTTGGTGACAAGAATCACAAATGTCAGAGAGGCTGCATGGGTCCATCAGACTGGAGAGCCATGCTGCGCGGACACCAAGTACCAAACACAAGAAAAGATTACTTTAAATGTATTCCAAAACATTTTGTCATGCCACTGCTGCTTTTTTTTTAGCATGTGTTGTTCCAGTAAATATTGTATCTTTATCTCTGGCTGTGTTAACCTGCTACTCATGTAACTACACACCTTTGAATGTATCCACTGACACAGAGTACATACAAATTCAGACTACAGCTTATGTAGCTACACAAACATTCTGTTGTAAATGAAACAAATCTGTATTATTTTAAAACTATTCACAAATCTGAAGCTGAAATGCGGCCCCATCACACAGCTCAAACCAATAATAGTTGATATGAAGACCCCATAAATGTAGATGTACAGATACATCTACTACTGTCTCCCTGTAAGACACCTGCTCATATGCTAGTGGATAGATAACCTTACGTACCTGTCAAAAGTACAAGTTTCATTGGCGACTTGAGCAAAGACTCCATACTTGCGCTGGGTCTGGATGTTACTTTTAGCACAGACTGTGGTGGGCTGGCTGGTGACGTAGTCCATTTCCTTGCATCAGTTTTCCTGTTTCCCTAAACCTGGCCCTTCCTGTCTTGATCTTTAATCTGCTTTCAAAAACATGCAGCCTTCACCCTTGCTTCACCAAACCCTCCAACACAAAGCACCCAGCACACTTTTTCATTTGGTTCCCCTGTATACCTAACATAAAAAAGAAGTTTGAGCTGCATTTAGTCACTTTTATGTTGCGTTGTTGACACTGTGATTTATGTCGCCATTTTGGAAGCCTCCATGCCATTGTTCTCACTCGAACACGTACAGTAGGCTATGTAAACACAGGCCAAAACAACACCGACTAACTTCACGGAAGGACGACCCCCTCCCTTCCTCAAAGGAGTGTACACAAATTCACATACACATTCCAGTGCTGCGTGTCTCCCATCTCACTGTTCATCAGACCAACCTAAAATACCTGTAATTCTTCCAGGCTTTTGCTGCTGAAAAAACCTGATCCAAGCCTTTGGATTTCAGTTTATATGCTTAACAATATACAGCAGGTTCTTTAGTGTAGTGCTTTGTGTATATATGCACTGCTGTTTTTAATATCATTAACAAATAAATTGGATCATAAAAAGTAACTATGAGTTACACCTTGTTTAAATGAAAAGGAAAGAAAGTGAAAGAAAATATTTCTATCTAGGTCTAGCCTTAACAATGGCAACATTTTTATTCCTCATTTCCTTTTAAACTGCCTGTTCGTAAACACATTTCCTCTGAAACAGGGATCTATTGAAGATACTGTGTGTCATTTATAAAGTTGTTGAAATGTCGTGCAGTTTGCTATTGTTTTACATTTCTATGCACAGTGCCTTAAAAAGACAGTGTATTTCTATAGCAACAGCGGTGTACACAGTAAACAGACTTTTACAGTAAGGCCCTTTGTGCTGCAGTTATATGCTGTGTGTGTCTGAGTGTGCCTTTGAAGATAAGCGATAAAAAAACATATTTTATTTTTGTATCTTTGACACCTGTCACAGACTAATGACCCCATTCTCCGTGTGGGAAATGAGCAGGGCTGGGTGCTAGTTCAGTTTTTGTTTGCTGGTTACTGACCCACACAAAACAAAGTTGTGAGAGGCAGCTTACCAGGTAGACGTCAGTTTTAAGATTTTCATCTTTCTTCAAAACATTCTTTTCAATTGCAGATGTTTATAATTTTGCTAATCCGACACGCCCAGGAATATCAACACTCAGAATTGTTGTTTTAAGGCAGAATTTAACTGGCAGTGGCAGTTAGGAAACAGGTGAATTCAAATGTGAAACAGCAACAATAGTCCAAAAAGAGAAGTAGCCATTCAGGTGAAACTGAAGTCTTTTCAAACCGCCTTCTACTTTTTGGCACACAAACACATTCATTGATGAATAGTTTCACTTGGTAGATAAGTTCTTTGTTGACTGTATTGCAATCTGTGGAGGCGGTTTGAATTGCTTAGGCAAGGCGTTTAGTTTATTGCTGAGAAAGGCAGCTGCTTTGAATGACACCATTAGAATTGTGCTGCATTACTGTCCTGGGAAAGTGCTTGGTGAAAACCACATCTGAATGTCTCGCTCTGACACTCTCCTAATAGTAAGGAAGGAAGTGATGTTGTCTAGAACAAACCTGGACTGATTGCACCCTTCCTCCTCCGCTTTTTTGTCTGAGGAAATCTCTCATTTAGTGAGAAATTCGTAAAGCTCTCACAGGAGCTTGCTTGCTCCACAATGACATTGTAAAAAAGACACCTAAGAGAAAAGATCTCTGCAACTGTGTGGAGGCAGTCTTGTGTAAATGTTTCCTCTTTTCCTTTCCTCTCATGGATATGGAAATTTTGACTCTGCAGTAGTAGAATTTTGCGTAGGTTTCTCTGTGTGTGTGTGTGCGCGAGCAAACGAGGAGTGTTGTTTATGCTATTCAGGCAATATTGAGATTTGCAATACAGAGTACACTGGAGAATCTATTTTGACACTTCTCACACATATCTGCTGTGATGTTGGCCTTATGTTCAGCCATGATGGGAGGACTGAACGCTGGGGCACAGATGGCAGCAACTGTCTCATAAACTTGGAGCTCTTGAATATTTCAGCACCCAAGGCTGAAGAGACAAAGCACGCTGTCTGCTCAGGTTCAGAGATGCCAGCTGCTGCACGAGTGGAGAAACCCTACAACATTTACATTACACTTAAGTATAGGTGGCACACTGGCACTGCTTTAACAAAACAGTCTGCACTTCATTCAGAGTAAATATCCATCCTAAAACTGAAATAACACCTGTCAGGCATTGAAAGAGTAAAAGGCAGTAACTTCAATTTTGGTTGGAAATGAGATTTTGTCATTTTTGTTTGTCAGCATTTGGTCATGGGAAGATAAGAGGATCAAGAATATCCTCTTATAAAGTCAACAAAACACCACAATTTCAGAAGTCTTTTACAAGCTATTTGGCTGACCGGTAGAGAAACCTTAAAAGCAATTTTTGCCAGCTTAGATGTTTTGAACTGCACTTTTAGGACCATAAACCCTCTCTTGCACACATAGAAAAGCTGATTTTATGTATAAGGGCAATACTTATAGGCCTAGTGCATTATAAATCATATAACAGCTAACAAAATAGTTGACAAAACTGTGTGAACAGTAATACTAGATGTGTTTAGCAAAGCTTTACACTCTGATCTCCAAAATAAAAACTAACTACCATCTAGATGTGTTTTTGACACCACCAAAAGAACATCCTAGGTAGGATTTTCCCACATTTGTTAAACATATAATATGTAACAATGTCTGCAATAAATTGTCTATAAAAACTAGACCTATGTCAGTGTGTGCAATTATCTCAAATGTTTCCAACACTGTTCAAACTCAGATAAATCTGTGATTTATTCAGGTAACGGTGCATTTCACCAGTCGCCTGTCAATGGTGTCACATCCCCTTTGTGGTTGTCTGCCAAAAGCTGTCATAAATTGATTTTTTATCAAGTTTTAAGACACATTTTTACATTACACTTATTAAATCTTGGCTGTTTCTAACTATATATTTTAGATGGAAGAAGGATTTCAGTCATTGGCTGTCTGGACCTTATCAAAGAAACAAACTGAGCCAATGTTTGCAGCAGCTTGGCTGGTGCAGCGTCCTTTGTCTGCCAAACAGCATTGGAGATTTTTAAAGTGAAAGTGCTTTATTCTGTGGTTTTACTGGTTTTAATCAGAGGGTTTGTTTGTTTTGGAGAGGTGAAGACCCCTGTGGATGATTTGGCTCCTGGTAGAAACCTCCTGAACGATGAACACTGAAGCACAGAAGCTCACTGCAATGATTATATCTTCTGTTATTGCTTTGATGTAGTACACTACAAAATAAATAAATAAAAAGTCCATGTTAACCTTATTTTGTCATATTTGTCATAAAATTTAGTTCTACCAAAAACAATTTTCGCCAGTGACTGAGTATGAAATTACTTGAGTTGTTCCTTAAATTTCCTACAAAAATTTAAATATTTTAAAACAAGGCCAGTTCCATTTACATGATTTAATTGATCATTTTTTCTTATCACTGCCTAAAGATTAAACCCACATTAGTACTAAATTAATCAGGGTGGAAAACTGTGTATTGTCTGAAAACACACTGGCCCAAATATGTATGATTTATATGTCTGAATTTTCAATCTCAAAATTGTAGGTTAAGTGTGCTTCTTAAATACTGGGTGATTCCTTATGGCCAAGTAACACATTTAAAATGGCGTAATAAGTAAATACTCACAAATGTTTTTGCCCTGAGTTCAAGTTTGGTGAACGTTAACAACACTGATGCCATCTCGACAGTGGTGATGACCTTTGAGAAGAAGAAGCCAACGCACATATCCTTGTTAAAGTAGCACCTGGTTCACAAAAGAGCAATGGTTTGCAGACAGCTACAAGAGTCCACGGCAGAGTTCAAAGCAACTAAGCTAGTGAATTTGGAGCACTTTTTTCCTTCACTAAGTAAACTCTTTATTTACTTAAATTATGCACAACCCTGAGAATGACATACCAAGTTGAATAAACGACCCAGTACAGAGAAACTAGGAATAAGCTTGTTTTCTCAGCTTTTTAGCATATTACCCGTTAGCTGAGGAAGCTAACATTACAACAGTTTACTAACTAGCTAGCCATGAGCGGCCATGTCAGCAATACCCCTAAGGTTAGCAATGCCTGCTTAGCAAAGCATGGAGACATTTTGCTATGTCACTTACTGGGGTAAAAAAAATACAAATACGGGTTGTTTTTAGCCTTAATGTTGCCAGGCTGGCGAGTTTTGACCGTTCTAACCCCAGTTTTTTTTTTACCAGCGCTTTCTGCTTCCATGTGTGTTTTGCTGCAGTGGAGGAAATAACAAGTGGAAAGCATAAGCGGGCATTGTACAGCAGAAATGGAGCGGACAGCACATTTGCAAGTGACCAATGCCATGCTATAAAGTGGTAAGTCTAAAAAACTCTCTTTAAAAGCTAACATGACCAATGTTCCTGTGTGTTTGTGAGTAACTTATATGACTAAAAAACAGAGTGAAGGAATGTAAGTAAGTCAGTAAAGCTTTATTTATACAGCACCTTTTTGGCACAGAGATCCAAAGTGCTTTACAAACAACAAATAAACATGAGGGTATAACCATACCCAATCAAACAAACATAGGGAGCAGCAATGTAGTTACTGAACTGCTAGCTAAAATCCACTTTTTGTTACTCATGTTTATTGTGTCTCAATTTAAAAAGATACAAGTGCTTACTACTAGTAGCATGACTACTGAAAATTCACCATTCTGATTGGCTGGCAGGTATCCATTAGTTCCCAGTCAGCAGAGAGTATAACCACACACATCTAACAGAGGTGCTTGTTTGCCTCCAAACGTATTGTGCCAGTATTAAACCTGACATAATGACAGCATAGTGCTGCTCGTCTGGAGAGCTTGGAGATGTGCAACTAAAAAGGCGAGGAAAAATAAAGAGATGTGGAGAGGTCGCAGGTAAGCGTGTGAGAAAGAAAAAGACAGCAATAGAGAAAGAGCTAGCATGAGAGACAGAGGGAGAGAACGCATG